TATATATATGTATTTATATTTTAAAGCTGATGGACAAATAGGCCCAGGTATTTTTATTTACAGAATCAAAGCAACATGAAGGTCACCCTGAATGTCATTGAATTATAATCTATAGACCTTTTGTAATCCAAATTCAATATATGAGTTTGAATGTAAATAACATTAGACCTGTTCCAGGTTAAAGATGGCAGCTGAGATTCTCTGGATCCGATCCACCACTCGTTCTGGGTCAGGAGGMCCCTCAATCCTCATCGCTATGTCCCTGTAGAGGTTCAGCTGCCACCTCACAGCAGGGTCTTCAGACTGTTGAAATTCACACAAACAAATCAGMCAAAGTATCCAGCATGAGCTCAGATGATCTGCGAAATCTGCAAAACGCTTGCTTTGCTAAGATCTGCATACCCTTTCTCGAAGGTGCAAATTCTGATGTATATGGTCTTTCACCTCTTCGTCTGTGTCTTTCTGTTGGACAATGACAGGAAACAACTTTCTATGACAAACATATAGAACAAAAATGGGCAGCATCTATAAAAAATGAGCAAAATAGCAACAAAAGTGGAAACGGAAGGAGAAAATATGAGAGAATAAAGTGATTCACATTCCTGATCTCATATCAAACTGAAACTGAAGTAAGGACTATCAAAAAATCATTTATAAAGCATCAAGTTGCTGAAGCTGTCAGATAAAAGCAGTGAGGAAAATAAAGTGTTGTGAAGTAGAAACCCTGAAACGAAGCAACTCAAAGTATCTCAAATTCATCTGTACAACTTCAATAAACATATTCTCATTATAGAGTCCCACATTGCTTTTCTGTCAAAATATTAACATACGTTTTCTAACTTTTGATTGCTCGTGTAATAAAAGAAGAATTCCTTGAAGGAAAACACAGTCAGACTACCTGCAAGTCAAAGTTTTAAGCAAAAATCTCATGCAGTCTGTTAGAACTCAAAGTATGTTGTGGATGATTTTCAGCTCCTACGACATCAAATTTGGGCTCAGTATCTAATATCCAGTTTTGTATTTGATCGTCATCCATAAACATGTTTCCTCACCATGAGGTAGCGGGTCTTGGCAAGAGAGATGAGCTCCTGATCCCCGGGAGTACACATGTTGAGACCGATTGGCAGCATCTTCTTCAGAGCAGCCACGATCAGCGAGGTCTGGATGGAGTAGAACTCACCRCGTCTCTTCTTGTGCTTCCTCTCCTGGTCTTGTCCGCCGGACTGAAAGGTTAACCGTTTCAACTTCAGACAACACATACTGGTTTATAAAACATGGGCGCTGTAAGCTGCGGAATAAGTTCAGCCTCTAGCTGCACTAATGCTGCGTCTGATCAAAAGCTGAAAGCAATAGAGATATTTAATTTTCAGCCTTTGCAAAAATCCGTGAACGGATGCAATTAAAGGGTGTGTCTCAATTCAGGGGCTGCATCCTCATGAGGGCGCATTTGTCCGCCGCTTACGTCACTCCCCAGTTTGTGGGCTCCTCCTCATGTGGCCTGCAAAATCTCAAAAATGATGCATCCGAGTATCCTTCCCRGCTTCCAGGATTCAATGCGCCGCCAACAAACTAAACAGGAAAGCCAAGACAACGGATTTTATTTAACTAAGTCGACGTAGTTTGGAAATTAATCATGAAATGAAGAATTTCATTTTAAATATAAGTTTAGCAACTTAACATGAAATTCACGCTGCAATAAGATGTYAAATAAAATGCAACTACAGGTACTGATACTGAAGCTAAACCCAAATTAATATGTTTTCTTATTTATTTACGTGCAACTTTTTATTGTCAAGTTATTCCTCCAGTAAAAACGTGTGAATACATGTCCTGACGCATTTTAGCGAAGGCTAGGCCGTCTCATTTCACAGCAGTTTTATGCAGCCTACCCGGACTGAATGGGCTGCAGCCTACGTGGGCCACGGTCTAGGTAGGMTGCAGCCCCTGACTTGAGACACAGCCACAGTGCCCCTGAAGCGTTAGCAGTGTGGTCTCACCTCAAAACAGAACTGTTTCTGTTACAGCTGCAAACTACTTTACATGACGCAAAACTATGTTGCTGAACCAAACAGGAGTATCTGTTTGGTGCAAACATTTATCTTAATATCAACAAAGACATTTACTGCTTTTACACAGACACACACATAAACAACCTCATGACACATTGACTTCAACAACATATAAATATAACTACTGGTCAAACACACAAAATTATCAACATTAATCAACTGCAAACACACAAATGAACACAATTTACCAGAGAAGGACAGAGTTTCTTTACTCCAAATGAGATGTGTTTTGCTCATAACGCAATGAGGAATGACCAAACTGACCACGTCTCATAGGATGAAAAATGAGGCCACAAATATTCAGGTAATAATAGATTATAGAAATTACTAGACTATAGAGTATTATATCACATCGGCACAAGCTATTGGCTTTTCTGCTCTGAGGTTTTCAGAAAGAGCACAGAAGCCAATAAGCCGGCAGGTTAACAGCTCATGCACTGCATCACTCTACCTTTTCCTTAAAGGACTGTTAGAGGGACAGAGAGACAGAGGAGGACAGACAGAGAGAAGCAGATAGAAAAAAAGGGATGAAAGTGCAGTTAGTGAAGGTGCAGGGGGTCCTCACATGAGCATGCACTGCAATGAAAAATAACATTATTGTGCGTTTTAAAAAGCTGACTCAGGCAGACAAGATCTTAAATGCAGTCCTGTGACACTAGCGAGGGTTGACGAATGAAAATTATATGTATTTATTTTATCGACCATGCATGTGTATTCACACTGACAATATACACACACACATGAAACTTGCTTTGCACACTGTGCTCCTTTAAATTAAACGCAAATGAGCCTTCCCTTGTGATTTCTTTGTCTCAAATGTGTGTGTGTATCCTTGTGCAGTAGGCTCTTTAGTTTTCATCATGTTAACATATGAGCACATGTTAATGCTTTGACATGGCAGAAAACATGTTAACATGGTCCCATTTGCAGTGTGTTTGTAAGGAACCTGTAGAAACACTGAAATACTAATATATTCATGTCAAATATGAGTCAAGATTTCTCTGCTGCAGTGTAAAGTCCTGAACATGGGGTGGCAGTGTTGAGAGGAAGCAGGCAGGAATAAAACTTACCTTTGACATCTTTGTTTTGTTGTCTCCAGTTAARAAGGACAGGTTGTTGATTTCATTCTGCACCACAAAGTTCTGCTCTTCTCTTTTAAAATTCTGAAAACGTCAACAAAGTATCTGTCATATTTGTGGTCTGAATTCATAAAGCAGCGTGCGGTTCTAGCGTGAGACTTACATGAGATTTGCACCAGAGAATAAATATCTCTGCAACCATTCTGAAGAGCTCGTTGGAGTCTATATCTGGTTCTTTGAGCCACCTGGACCTGAAATCCCAGAGAAACTTGAGTTCACATTCTGTACTTTTTCTTCAGACGGTAAAATCTGTGCAAACTCAGCGAGTTAACCTGTTGTTGTCCACATAGCGGATGAGCATGGGGTAAAAGGCGTACAGATCCCTGCAGAGGATGGCAAACTCGTCCAGGATGAGCAGCTCGGCCTCCTGAGTGTCTCCTTTACAGTCGGCCTTAAGAAGCTCCTCCTCAGCCACCACCTTTACCGTCTTCTTCTTGAGTTTCTCCAGCGTGGGTAAGAAGTGGCTCTTCAGCAAGTCTGCACGAGCCTTGCTGATGATGGGCTGCACGTAAACTGATAAAGGAGAAAAATGCTGATTTATACCAATTCTTTTTCATCAGTTCATTGTGTAAAGCAATTAGAAATTGAAAGCTCAAATCATGCACAGAAAATCGGTCCAGTACTCAGCCTTGAATGTTTTTTTTTCGCACACATCTAAAGATTATCACAGCGCTGGTGTCTTGTTTCAAATTGTTTTTTGGAAATCATGGATGCCGTGTCTTCAGGGCTAAAGAGGTAAAGGACTGTCCAGATTTTTATCAGTGTAAATTTCAAAAGCCAGCCTCTCTGATGGTATGGGAGTGTGTTAGTGCCCAGGCCATGTTTGCCTTGGTTTATATGCTGCAATCCAAGCCACGATTTTTCAGGAATGTCCTGCTGATTTCAGCAAGACAATGCCAAGCTACATTCTGCATGTGTTACAACAACGTGACTTCATAGTAAAACAGCACAGGCATTAGACTGGCCTGCCTGCAGTCCATACCTGTCTAACAATGAAAATGCATGGTGCAAAGCTTGGTGTCCTCATTTCCCAAACATATTGAATGTTGTTAAAAGGAAAGCTGATGTAACACAGTGGTAAACATGCTCCTGGCCAAGCTATTTTTGGTCGTGTTGCAGGCATCAAATTCAAAACGAGTGAATATTTGCAAAAAAAAAAAAAAAACCCAATAGATTGAACATAAAATATCTTGTCTTTGTAGAGTATTCAATTGAATATAGGTTGAAAACTATTTGTAAATCATTATATTCTGTTTTTATTTATGTTTTACGTAACGTTCCAACTTCACTGGAATTGTAAAATTCAATCAGCCACAAAATATCCAACAACTGCACAGTATAGAGCTGGKATTTTCTCTACCTGCGATTCTCTTCATCCACGAGGCCTCGTCGATGCCCAGGTTGTTGTTGAGGATCTTGAGGATGTTGCCRAGGATGAGGCTGAGGTGCTCCGAGGTGACTGTGGTGCAGCAGATGTTCCCCCCGCTGGCGGGCTGGTTTTCAGGCCCCTTCTCCCACCAGTAGGACAGATAGTTGCACAGCATGGGCAGCACCACCTCGATCACGTGGGGCATCTCGGTGTACCGCGCTCCAGACTCGGCCATGTCGTTGATGTCTTTCATGAGGCCGTCCAGCCGYGGCATCCCCGGACACATTTCTTCAACCGACGCTCGAATTCCGAGGACTTAACACATCCCAGGGGATCCACATTACACACTATCAACCGGTTTTGTTGAACTTCTTTTAAAATGGATGTTGYTCATTTTTAAAAGCATTCACTCACCGGTTCTATCCCGTGCACTTTTGGTATTAAAAACAGAGCAGGGGTTGTACGTGTTAAGCTTTGGCTCTAGGAAGGCTACAGGCATAGCCCCAGCCAGAGTGGCCAAACACTGGCCGAGAGCTGGCAGCTGCCTTTTGGAACACAAATAAAATGAATTACAACTTGTTTCTTTTGCCAACATTTTGTTAATTCAATACAACTTTTAAGTTAAGGATACCTCTCCACGTAGATATTTTTCCCAGTGCCCAATGCATAGAGGCTGGTCAGGATTCGATAGCAGGACACTTGGACGTCATCCACTGAGGAAAAGCAAAAACAAGAATTATGACTGTAAAGCATCACTGTAAGACCTCATTTTGTAATAACAATGTATTATGTAATAATGTAATAAAATAGGGCTTCAAATGTAATAAACTCGCACTAAAACCGCATTATGTAATAACTGACACAAAATGTAATAAAAGTCTTCAACGCATTATGTAATAACGTTATTACATTTTGCAGCAATTGTTACAAAATGTGGTAGTGTAATAATCTGGTGCATTATGTAATAAACAATCAAAAACCAGTATTTCTGTTCATCCTAATCAATATACTTGTAATAACTGTCATGTTGCAAATATTACATAATTAAATCTTTATAATTTTGGTCAATAAACATCAAACTTCTCATCTTTTATTTGCATTTTCAGTCAAATTCTTGTGGATATGGATGCATAGAGCAATCTCACGGATTTTTTTCTAGTTTTATGGAATCTTTCAAAAACTTAGTTTCTAATTTATTCAACATGTTAGAGGCTGTAGGACATTAAACAAACAATTATTAACATCAAATATCTACTTCCAACCCACTCTATTGCTAGAAACAAGTTCTTCAACCCTCATTTCCTTCTGATACAGAAGCCGACAGTCCGCCTGCACTGCGCCCCCCTCCCCTCCGATGGTCCACCTGCACCCCCCAACCCCCCTGCCTGTGATTAATGCGATCATTTTTACGAAAATTACAGATTTCTAAGGCTCATTATACAGGTAAACATCTGAAGGGGTTGACATGTAAGTACACCTAACTTTTAGATATATTTTCGGAGTTGTCTACAAGGTGGAATAATTTCTGTAACAGGGATCAGGACTGTAAATCTGAAAATGCAAATAAATAATGAGAAGTTCTGTGTTTATTGACCAAAGTTAGTTATGTAGATTTAATTTTGTAGTATTTTGCAACATGACAGTTATTACAAGTATATTGATTAGGATGAACAGAAATACTGGTTTTTGATTGTTTATTTCATAATACACCAGATTATTACACTACCATATTTTGTAATAATTGCCGCAAAATATAATAACGATATTACATAATGCGTTAAAGACTTTTATTACATTTTGAGTCAATTATTACATAATGCAGTTTTAGCGTGAGCTTATTACATTTTGAAGCCTGATTTTATTGCATTATATAATACGTTATTACAAAATGAGGTCTTACAATCACTAATTTCTTCATGTTTTCTTGCATTTTTAAAACTGTACAGATCAACAGTTCTCTGGGCTTTCTAAAAGTCTGCTTGTTTTTTTTTTTTTTTTACAATTTACTGTCCAGCACTTATACTTCACCGTGTTTTACTTTCTGAAGCAGATAATCCACACATGATCTCAACCGACCATCACACAACCTCAGAAACACTTAGGAATATATAATTACCTTTCACTGACATCTCTCCTGCTACTATATATTGATGAAGCCAAGTTAAAAGTGCTTACAACACTATGACGTCATCATCAAAGTAGAAACTTGTCCACAAACATCACTCTGAATGGCAGTAATGAGGCTCAGTTATGAACCCTGCTTTTTTAAAACACTGCGCAAAACGCCTTACCTGCAGGAACTGTGCGTCCATGCATTACAATACACACGACACTATCTTTTTGCAGCCTCCCAACTAACGTGCTTGCCCTTCCGTGTCAGGACTTACAAAGCAGGTCGACTCCAAAGTGGTGCTGGGTGATGTGTTCAAACAGAGCCGTCAGAATGGGGAGCAGCGCCACGGTGGTGTAGTTGATATTCTGCGACACCCCTTTCATCTGCGAGCGGGAGTGAGTGAACTTCCCCAGCTTCAGGTTCTCGAAGGTTTTCTCCAAGTCCTCTGCAGCATTCTCAAAGAACATCCTGAGGCCCAACCTCACCTGCTCTGAGCCTGACTTCATCACCGTCCTGTTAAAAGATGACAAAGCAAAGCCAGGGCTAWAAAAGTCATATTATTACACAATGAAGCCACAAATCCAAATCAAAAAACTTAATTTAATTACAGCCAATTCAATCAGTAGATCAATTAACTTTGTAAAGCCTTGATGTGTCATAGAAGCAAGTAGGAATAAAACCAGTCCCTGGGTATCATGTGTAGCTCTTCAACATGAGCCATCCTAATGCATTGCTGATTTAGCCTCATTAAGCTTGAGCTGCATTAATAAACAGTAGTCTGTCTCTAAAGAGCAACATAAGCCTCAGGCAACATGTGCTGCATGAAATCTGAGCTGCCTTTTTAAAGGCCAGAAGACGCTCTTTGTTAATGCCATTGCTTCCYGTAAGAATTGTGTGTTTGAAAGAAAAGCACAACAAATATGTTCCCATTTAGGATCCAGATGACAACAGATCCACTTAAACAGTGAAACGGTGCAAAAGGTGTTCAAAACAGTTTGTTTAGCTACAATCATTTTTTTWAAAACAAATCGTGCTCCAGGTTTTTAATTTTGCTGCCAAGCTCCCCTGTGTGCTCTGGGCTCAGCCTAATTTGCACCCACCTGGTGTCGAGTGTGTGTGCCAGGATGTGCAGACAGCTGACCATGGTGGTGGAGTCGCTCCCTGCAAGGCACACGCAAAGATCATCAGTGTGAACACACAAGATGGTTTCTATAGATTTTATCAAAATGTACAGAACCTCTTTCATGACAGAACTGAGTTTAAAGGAAGGACTCAGCTTCTAATACTCTGGTCACAAAGGGCATCATTTTATAGCAGTAATGTTAGTGTTATTATTTGAAATTGTCAAAATAGAAAAAAGCAATTAGAGTTCTAGAGGGCCAATGGGGGAATGAAGTGGTTGTTTATCCTTGTAAGGTTTTCAGGTCATTTTGGACTATTTTGTTCATTTTATCACAGTTTGCAACCCCACCTGGCTTCTCATGCGTCACACTGGCTTATCTGCATTTTAAGTCTTCTCATTTACTTCTCAGTTCTGCTAACAGGGATTTTAACGAATACGAGACAAATGCATGCAAACATTCCTCTGACCAGTCAGTAGACATCAGCTCACCAAAGAGTGAAATCCTGTGTCTGACAAGAGCTGCCAGTTTACAAAACAAGCTGGAGACGTGAAGAATGGAAATAGAGAGGAAATGAGAAAACCTAAGTGAGTTCATTCTTGAAAAGAAGGGAAATGATCACTTTTAGATATTGAAGCAGAAATCTGTGGTAAACGGCATGCGGCACGTCTGTCTTTAATGTCAGGAAGTGTGTGAATTTGTTACCTGGTGACCATTTCTTTCTCCTTGTTGGAGGCGTAACCACTGCTGCTGAGGTTCTTGTTGGGGGAGGAGAGGAAGTACAGAGAGTGGTTCTTGAAGTACTGATCGATGAGAGGGAGGAGGACCTGACAGASAGAAACAATGAGGTTTAGATTATATCTATATAGGTCAACAGAAATAACAAAAAGYCAACTTATACTGTATAAAGATTTTGTCAAAGTATTTGTAAACACTTTCTTACCTTGGCAAAAAACTTGATTTCCTGTTCATGAGGCGATCTGTCTGTTTTGCCACTGGCAGCCATGGCCTCTGAAATGAGAAAAKACACATTCTTTTAATAAGGAAAAAAATATATACGGCAATATTTTTCTTTAATCCTGTGTTAATAATAACATACCTAAGTGGGCAATGAATTCCTGGGCAGAGTCGACGTACTTGAGGAGCTTTTTGAGGAACCTATAGGCGAACCTTTTTTCCATGGAGGAGGAATCCTGCTCTAGGTCCTTTAAACCCCTGCAACATATACCACTTCATCTGTAAATGATCACTCGCATAACCCCGTAGTCTTTTATTCTGAAAAGCACTTCATCAATCACTGACRGTTATACATATGGTGTTGTAGAACCTTGACGTAACATCAGTGACATGCTCTCTGTGTATTGACCTTGTAATGCTATAGCCATTAATTTGCAGGAAGCGAAAGAGGTCCTGAGCCTTCTCTCGATCACGGGCCTTCTCCTTGGCTGTCAGTGTGTCGTAGGGCACCAACAGAGGATGTGTTCCCCCACCTGAAACCACAAACGACCCTGTGCTCAGAAATGATTTACTCACTGTGTGTGAGGGCACATGGAGTGAAATTGCCTGAGATGAACTCGTTTAGTTAAAAAAATAAAAAATAAAACAAAAGGCACTCAGGCTCATCGGCACATTCAAAGCAAACACAAACCACACAGCACCTTTAATCYGCCCACACATATTCCTATAGTCTTTCCCTGTTGCTTTGGCATTCTTGAAGAACTTCATTAGGCATTCACCTCGGCTTCCAAGGTCACTTTTCTTCTTCTTGGCCCAGATGTTATGGTAATTCTCAGCCATTACCTCCACCATCCCCTTGGACCAAAAAAAAAAAAAAAAAGACAAACTCATTGAGGAACACATCCTGYGCACAATGCTCATTCCCATTTGGGACATATTGGCTTTGATCTCACATGCATCTGAGAGCTCTTTTGATTAAAAAAAGAAGGAGAGAAAGGAAAACGTGGTGTTACCTGCAATTCTCTGGATAAAACCACGTTGCTTGTGTCTATTGGGCTTGGATTGAAGCCATTGGCCTGGAAATGAAAGCACACTGTGTAGTTAGCTACAAACAAACATTTGGATAACACAGAATTTTCCACTTTAATAATGTTTGTCAAAGGATTACTCAGTGCATGAATTTTTTTCTGCTGTTTGTAGAAGATAAGGAATAAAATGACTGGATGATCTGCAGAACCTCTGTTTTTAATGTGCAGCAGAAGCATTTTGAGTCAGTTCTAGCAATATTACAGGTGTAATATCGTAGTAATTACTTTTTGTTTCCAACTTTGTTGAACACAAAAAAACTTTAATCTTTAAGCCAGACCTGAGAAGCTTGAGATATTTTTCTCATTTTCTCATTCTCCCTCTGTTGAGACATGCTCTCTCCATCCTTTGTTCTGTCGATGCTCCAGCCCATCACCAGCATGCTCTTCAGTGAGTCCCTAATTGGCAATCTGTAAATCTCCTTCTCCTGAAGCACAGTGACAGAAATTGAGAACAGAGTAGAAACCATGAGCCGTTTATCTTCAGGTTATCTCTCCAGTGTGCCACACTGTATTTTACCTTCTCTGTCAGGGCTTTGTAGGTCCTGAGCTGAGGGTGAGTCTTGGCCTTCTCATCCACACAGTCTCCATATTTCCACCCAAGCAGCACCTGACATACAAACAGAGGTGGGGGGAAACAATCGCTGATACTTTTAGAATCCTTTGCTGAATGSATTTATCATTTGCAAAACTGATTTCAAGGTTAAGTAAACATCAAAAATTGAYGAGTTACAAAGCATTCGGTTCTTGCTGTTCTCAGCTCTTGTTAGTTTGTGACAAATAGGACAATGCAGTCTAAGCAGAACGATGAGAGGATTTTATATAATGCATGCAAAGAAAATCTATTTTTATAACAAAAAGGCACTGATGGGAATTCTTGCTCTTGAAATCAAATTCTTTAATTTCATTTAGCTAGTATGCTTCTCAGTTGCTGTGCTAAGTAGTATTTCTTTAAAGCGTGTGTGGGGGGGATTATGCAAAATTTACTGTTTTGAGCTTTATATCATGTTATAATGTCATTCCCTCATCACACATATAAAGAGCGTTGCTTTGATTCATTCATGCATGCTTGATAAATCTCCTGTRGTAGCCATGTGGAGCTGCYTWAATGCTTGCTGGTACAAAGCCCCGCCTATTTGTACCTAGCTCCTCCCTGGAGCTCAGTCTGCAGCCGAGCTCCTGCCCCACAGAGCACCCCTCCCCCGAAGCATTGTTGTGAAGATGTGCTGAAGTGGGAGTGTCAGAAATGGTAGGAGGTTTGTAAAAAGAGAGGCCAATGTAAAGGTGTTTAGATAGACTATGATACAAATTCAAATTTAATTTTCATCACATCCAAAGTTGATGTAGTTACTTGATTGTGGTATAGAATTGAACTGTTCCTGGAAAATTCATAATACCACCCCCCCCTTTAAAGAGAGACATTTTTAGAAACCTGTCCTTTTCTTTCAACACTTTTCACACACAATTTAATTGTCCCCTCTAGTATTACTTGAGATATTTGATCTTACCTTTTCTGCAGACCATTTCTCATGGCAATGCTCACTGTATTTGTTGGCGAAATGTTCAAGCTTTTCTGGCAGAACAATGCTAAAAGAAAAAGTGACAGTTATTCAAGTTAGTGCTGTACATGTTAGGTGGAATCACAATGTATTTGGTCAGGCTGATGATTATTCATTGATTTCAAGCTGTGAAATACTCTTACTTTGCAATATTGATGGGCTTAGGGTCAAAGTTCCCCTGGGCATCAACAGAAATAGGTTTTTCTACGGTCGTATTGATAGAGGCATCCACGTAGTCTGGTGGCAAAGCTCCAGCTATGGCACTGAGACAAGGCATAGCCATCTTGAACAACTCAGGTTCATACTTCTGCATGGGAAATGAGAAAAAGCTGGATTTAGATGCGTAATTTACTCCCTTAAATTCTACTGCCTGAAAATAAGAATTTCTCCTAACAAATTAAGCAATGTATTTTGTTGCTAATTTACAGCAGCTCTAAATAAAGCTGTGCTCTGCAGTCAGTTCAGGGGCCAGAGGAAGAGACGTTAATGAAGAATTATTCGAAAGGCTGAGAAACCAGGATGCTAGAGGGATTGGATCAATGTCGGCTGTCCAGATATTGATGCTTTCAGCTCAACTCTTTGCACAGCCCGCCTTCATGAGTGGGCATTTAGTGAGATGTGCTRAGGCCAGAGAGCTGAACTCCTAACAAGGTGTTTGTCCAAAACAGCTTCTTGCATACACACACACACACACACACGGAAAAAAAAAATTGTGGCGAATTTATTGATGGAACCCATATCAGTTCTGCAGAGCTACTTTGTTTTCACAGCCAGTTTGTCATTAACAGGAAGCAGATACCAGATACTGTGTCGAAGAGATGAAGTCATGACAAAATGAAGCAGCAGCACCTCACCCTTTGAGACAGAGAATCAAACACGCCCCAGAAGATCTTCTTAGTGAGCAACAGCTCGTCTTCGGACGCCGTACCAAAGCTGCCCCAACCCGATGGGAGGCAGTAGTACTTCCAGTTCTGCTCATAGTGGTTGGTTAATAGCTAGGAAAAAAAGCAACAGTCACATGAAGAAGATGACTAATCAAAAACAGGCGTGCATATTGACCTCTAGCTGCACACACTTGCAGTAATATGCATGCTGTGGATAGTGTTGACTTCTACTGTACAATGAAAGCCAAACATGAACATGTAACAAACAACTGTGTCCACAATTGTACAGGTCAGTCACAGTCTATTAAATCCTCAGTATGTCTTTCTCAGGACCTGATAGATGGAGTGGAGCACTGAAGTCAACAGGTCTGTAATCACACAATCCAGTTATTTCATCCCTTTTGTTCCCCTTCCCCTGCACGCCAGATTTTTACCACTGTATGTGCGTTGCCACCGTGCACTTATAAGTGTGAAAGCAGTGGGTTGCTACCAGTGGCATTACATTAAAGGTGACCCTTCGAGGAAAGTGGAAAAGCTGTTGGAAGCTTCCCATCAAACAAAAAGTCCCAAAAAATAAATAAATAAAAAATAAAAAAAATAGGGATGAAAAAAATCCCACAGAAACTAAAAAAGATGTATTATATAAAAAATAAATAAATAAAACACAAGAAAATGGAAAAATTAATGGCAAAATTCAAACAGTAACCTTCAGCATCCAGATTTAAAGTGGAAAAACAAAAGATGACAAAGTGAATACAAAAAAGGTTCAATAAAASGAGGAAATTGTTGCCAACCCTCAGAGGCATCTTGCAGTATTCAGTCAACAAGGGCACATCAAAGACGAGACGACGCAGGAGCTGCTGAAGCATGGAGGGACGAAGGTGCCTGCAGATTAGGGTTAGAAAGAGATTAAAAAAAGGCTGCTGCCCTGGGCTTATTCAAACTGATTAAGTTTGTCACRCTGACTCAAAAGGATTTTAAGAAAACCCCTGGATGTGAGTTAGAAGATTAGCTGATAAATACTGCTGTTATTTTTATAATTCTTGTCATGTGAAATAAAAAACAAGTTGTATCACAGGCTGTGAGGGAAGGGGGGAGTTAAATCATTCGAGTTTCCTGTGATCCTCACTTGCAAATGGAGAGCAAACACTCTTCTATGGCATCTCTCTGTGCCTTGGTTAGCGAGCGGCCCTTGGAGAGCCGGTAGATGGTGTGCAGGGTGGAGTCGATGAGGGTGGCGAAGTGCTCGGTGCCAGCAAAGAGAGGGGCACAGCGGGTCAGGAGGGGCAGCATGGTTGAACCAATGTATCGATTCATGGCCAGGGCTGTCTCGGTGGTACACAGACCCTCCTGCACRGAAAATACATCACAGACCATACAGTTGGCAGCCATAAATTCAAAGGGGACATATAATGCAAAAYACACTTTTGTAGCCRTTAAATACATTCTGTTGTGTAYTTGGAGTCTCTAGAAGTGCAGCATCAAAACGAGTTGATCTGAGACAGACCTCAAAAAAGGGGTGAAAGWGGGGCTTACAGGAGGAATTCAGACTAAAGCACTGCAGTTCCACTTAGACCCCAACTGAATGATTTAAATGTGAAAAAGAAGGATTTTAAAGCATGATAAGTCTCCTTCAAAATAAAGCTGCAATATTTGGTGAAAGAGATATGAAACAACACTAAATGACTTAGCCAGGTCTTTACTTCAGAACTCCTCTTTACAATACAAAGGAAATTCTTTGTAGGTATAAACATACATGCTTGTGAATTTAATTAAGTATCTTCAGTCCCAGCAGAAATATTTCCTGCTCGATGGAGGAAATGATAGCTGCAGGATATTTTATTTTCAGGTGTTGTCGTAATTATACTCTTTAGTGGGTCTGACAACAGCTTCAGAACTTGACAAAATATCAAGACAGTCCTCCGAAATGTCCATCCCACAACCCACAGAGGCAACATTAACTGCTAAAAAGATGAAACAACCCACAATCATAAACCTGTGATAGGACCCAGATGTTATTAAGCAGATTTTTGTTCTTGCAGCTGTTTGAAAACTGAAAGTTTGTAGATTTCAGGTTTTAGAGTATTTTTGTTGTTCATCTACTTTAAGGAGATCTATAATCTAAATGAGAGGCTCTCATTATTTTATCACACATTACTGATTCTAAAACTCTACTTAGAAGTCACTACGGCTTGTTATTTCCTGCTTCTCTCCCACGCTGCTGTCTAATTACCGTATCCATAGAAGTAGCCGCCCTCAGGTCAGGGAGGAAGCCCACTTCCAGCAGATGAAGCAGAAAGCTTTGGTCCTCGATGCCATACACCCTGTCTAAAAACAGCACCATGGGGGCTTTGTGGTCTGGGCAGAAGCTGGCTGACATGTCTGGCTCRGTCACTGATCCGTCTGAGAGAGATCAAATCACAGACAGAAAGGCACCGAGTTAWAACTGCACGATCCATTCAGGTGTGAAGCGATGAAACACCCAGGGAGAAGGGTTCGGTACATAATGGCAAGTCTCTTTTGATTAGAGCGGTGTGTATTTTCTGCTGCATGTAGCAGTTTCTATATGGTGGACCCTGGACTTGCTGACAAAGCCTGTGTGGTGATGTTAGCAGCACAAATAAAAAGCCAAGTTCACCATGTTTACATGTGCATGTAGATCAATCAATACAGCAAGACAGCTCYATTGAAATCTTCAGAGTCATGGGGGTCAATAGTAAAACATAATGCTGATTAAAAAGGCATGAGCAGAGAAAATTAATCAATATTTTCGTGTTTTGCAAGAAGTGTGAACAGTATGTGAGCAAGACTTTCTGATGTGACATGTATTAAAGATTTGTAATTATAAAAAGCAAACTTCCTGATTAGTACCTTTGTTAGTGACCGGCATTTTGAGAGGAATGCTGATAATTCCCACAAGATCCTCCGTGGGCACCAGAGAGCGCAGGATGGCACGGATCCGCAGAGCTTCCCCTTTTCCCTTGTTGATGAGCTGGAAAAAAAAGTGAGTTAGCGAAAGAAAATTACGGAGCCCGCGAGGGGACATGGGGGATTTTCTTTTCTTTTTGTGTTCCCACCCAAAAGTTGTTTAACACTGTTGTGCCTGCCTGTTTATTAACAAACTCACATGTTTACCATTAGCGAGTTAGCCTACTGCTTTGATTCAGCTTTAGAATGAATATATCACACAACCAGGCATGGAAGTATGTCATATGCCGATATTTTGACACAGTGCAGCCACGCAACATCACGAACTGTGGCAACACATCCTGTTTTGGTAACCGGATATTTCAAAATAAAAATCTGATTTCATTCAGTTCACATACAAATCAAACTTTTGCGTGGGAACGCAAAACAATATTGCGAGGGAACGCAAAAGTATTGCGAGGGAACACAAAGGTATTGCGTGTGAACGCAAAAGAAAAAAAATCCCCCATGTCCCCTCGCGGGCTCTGTAAGAAAATAGCAAATGTGGAAAAAAAAATGCTCATAATACATACATGCATCTCAGGAGCACAGCGTCCCAACAAGTCAATAAGTGCAGAGTAGAAGGACATGATGGCATTGCCCATGTGGACCACTTCCTCTTCATCATCATCATCACAAGACCTCCAAAAGAAAAACAAAAAGCAGGTAAGTGTTTTTTTTAAAAGGCACAAGAGTAAAGATGAAACTTGAAAGAAATGAGCATCTCATCTTTAGGTTATGTCTTTAGGATTGATTTTACATGCTTTGCCTGATTTTTTTATGGCTCACAGGTCAGAGCTGACTCGATGCACGGAGCCAGGCAGGTCCAAAGCGGGTGTTTCAGAGATCTTAATGGCTTCCTTCATCGCAGCCAGCAGACCATTTCCTCCCTCGCCTCTAAGAGCAGGTCCAAAACATTCTGGGCGACGGATGAGCAATTTCACCACAACACTCGAGTTCTCCTCCACACTCTCACCTTGAACACAAACACACAACCATGTAGTAGTGCTTTGTACTTAAGTAATTGAAATTCTTTAAAACTTTAGCGAGCTTTTTTGGCAGGTGGGCTTAGAAAGAGAGAAAAATTTAATTAAAGAAAGGGAGTGACTGAAGAACAGATAAAATGAAGAGTAACTGCAGTCATACCGTTGACAAAAACTGCAAAACGCAGGAAGGACAGATATCGCTCTCCTTCGATGGGGTTCCAGCCGATGTCTGGGTAACCTTTAGCCAGAAGCATCAGACAACTCTGGAGTCCACATCCAGCCAGGTATGTGACCACCTACAGATAAATTGCAAAGATTATATCCCATAAAAGCCAAACACAGATCAAACTTTAATTTATCCATGTGTGACAGCAGCACCTGCAGCCACACTGAAAAAAAGATTTTAGCAGTGACCTGGGTATTTTCTCATGTATGATTTATGAGATTTAAATTTAAAAATGCCCATGTACAAACTACTAAAACAACTAGACATTTAGCTCTTTTATTATATTATATATATATTATCCTCTTTTTTAAATGGATTGTACTTATATATTGTAGCAGCTTTCTATCCAACCAGGATACTCAACGTGCTTTACACTACAACCTGTGCCCTCATTTACCCATTCACACAGCTCTCTATTAGATCTCTATATAAAGCTAACGTATACCAATCAATCTATAGAGACTAATCAGTACTTTAAATCACATTCATACACTGATGGGACACACATCAGAGGCAGTGGGGATTCAGTGTCTTGCCTACGGACACTTCGACATGTGTCAGACTTGCGGGGAATCGAACCAACTCTCAACTCAAAGCCAACTCTTGCATTAGAAGAATGACTCCCCTAAGCGCTCAGCCACAGCCGCCACATTTTTAACACTATTTTCACTGTAGTTGACAATTTGGAGTGCAATTGGTTAACTTTGCCCAATCTTGCTGCAGTTCATTTTGTAACTTGCAATGTGTTATTTTCTATTTTCTTTAACTTACAAGTTTCTGCCCCGCTTCACATAGCAGAAGTCATAATTAAACATTTCTGCGCTGCTATATAGTCGTAAACCCCTCTATGAAACTAGAATAGACCGCCCCAAAAAGTTGGACGCGGGGTGGTATGTGACGTGCCTCATTTGGATTTAAAGAGACAGCCTCAAAATGATTTGATCTAAGACACACCTCAGAAAAAGAGTGAAGGAGGGGCTTGTGGAGTTACAATAAGGAAGAATTCAGACCAAAGCATTGGAGTAACCCCTGGGTACAGACTGCGGAATGAGGCGGGGTCGGATAATAGGCGGATTCGTACGTCTGACTCCGCCCTCAACTCTAAAATTAACCAACCCCAGATGTTAAATTCTTAAATTAACCACGCCCGATTTTTCAAGCCTCATATTAACACCACATTCATGACAAGCCTTGGCCACGCCTATTGGACGTCCAACCCCATCTACTGTCCGACCCCGCCCCATTCCTCTGTCTGCAGCCGGGGGTGTTTGAAGCATTGCAGTTCCACTTTATAAAGACCCCAACTGAATGATTTAAATGTGAAAAAGAAGGATTTTAAATCATGACATGTCTCCTTTAAATAGGGATCACAACCCAACAGAGTTGTACTGTTTCATGACAGTAGCAGAAGGAGTTTTGTAGTTGTCTGATTTTATTTCTTTTTAACATGTCTTTGAAGGGAAAAGGCTCACCTTTTCCAGATCGGGTTCTTCGAGTGCCAGTGCCAAGCCATTGTTGTCCATCACAGAGGAAGCAGCAACATCAAGAGGGGTGGATCCCCTCATAGATGGTGAGGCTACAACACAAAGCACACATAAGGTCGGCTACATATTGCTGACGCTGTTGAAACTTAAATCTTAATGCATGTAGCGCTTGGCATTGTGTGTGTTTCATCTAAAACTCAGCAAACAGCAGGGGGTGGTATTTTCTTTAAAAAAAAACAGCCTGCAGCTAATCTGTCAAAAGCAACTAGTTTGGTTTGGATCTTTTGAATACAAAATAGCATGAGTGCACAGGCTATCATGTGTAAAGAAGTTTTGTTTTATACTTTTTTATACCAGTGTGGTTATGTTGTGCTTGTTTTGTTTTGTGTCTGTACCAGTCCTTAATGTATAGATTAAGGACTGATTAAATGCAGCCAAGCTTTTTATAAGATGTCATTTGAATATTATCCAATTAATCTGAGGGGTTGTACAGGGCTGTACCCTTACCRAGGCCCACGCTACTGTTCTCCAGCAGGTAGCTGAGGTGATCGAACATGGCTTTTTGGTTCTGCCGACTGATCCGGCAAAAGTAACACAGGAAGCGACAACAGCTGGCCACCATTTTAGGGAAAGCGATTTCCTGAAAGTCAACATAACAAAGTAAAAACTTCATTTGATTTTTTTAATACCAGAGCAGATACTGTGTTTCATTTACATAGAACTTTTAAGAGAGCAACAAACTGGATTTATTAGATACAAACTCAAATATACTTCCCTCATTTTTCATAAAATAACTGTCACTCAAAAAAATCTATTTAAATGCACTCATTTTGGAGAGGTTGCTGCTTTACTCTGCAAACTTCAACCCTCTTACTATTAATACTTCAATGTGTTTTCCTCTTTTGTTGATGTGTAAAAGGCCTAACATTTCACACAATGCGAGTCACCCTCTGCCCTTCACTTTCAGAATCATTAATACACAACCTGTAACCACACAAAGAATAGCATTACAGCACAGAAAAATGCAACAGTAGATGTTTTCAAACCTGAGATTTGTCTCCTCCAAGTACGTTGACCATGACCTGCATTACCGTCTCATGCATGCCCAGTATTCTCATCAGGTTTGGGTGCTGGTAAAACACTTTGTTGTTCATGATATCACTGCATAAATACATGAGGAAAAACCCCAGAATATAATGAAACAAAAATAGTTTCTTTTATGAGATTAATTATTTCTCATCATACACCGAGCATCTTCTAAACTAATAAGTCGTCTTTAGAAATTAGCCGACATCAGTCGTTTTTAGCAGCCTTACCTGAGTCCATCGATCATGAGCTTCTCCTCCTCCTTCCCCATCCTAACAGACAGCAGAGATCTGATTTGACCAAGGGAGGCCAAGAGGTTGATGGTGTCTTGAACTGAGGCAGCACTAATGGTGTAGGTCTTCCTCATGGCCCGGAGCAGCTCCCCGATGCTGTCATACTGCCTCCTCAGCAGACTGAACATCTTGCGAACAAGTTTTGGGTCCTGGATGTGGCACTCCTGGGACCAGCTTACCATGGTCTGAGAGATGAGCTCCTTCAGATTAGCTAAAGAGGATTTTCAGCAATTAAAATACTTCAATGTAAATATTTCACACACACACACACATATAAGATTTTTAACTTTTACTGCAGGTCGTACCATTCACAACATCATAGATTTTTCATTATAATCCACATCAGTTGAATGTATCTTCTTCCAATCACATCATAATAAGTGTCATAATTAAAACTGGCCTAATTTAAGAAAATAAAATAATTTATACCATGTTGTTTCTGTAACAGGTCCACTAATTGAACTCACTAATCTTTTTTATTGGGCAGGCAGCAGACTTTTCCCCCTTATATAAACTGCAAAGAGCAGAGGGATGGACTCAAACCAATAAAACTAAAAAGCTGACAAGAAAGATGGTAAAATCAAAGGGAAATAACCAAAACAGATTTTCATAGGGTGTTAATAAAATACTACTTGCAGCCAACACATCACTGCTTTCAGAGATCCTAAATACCTGATCCTATACCATAAACTGTAAACTTATTTTTGATAAGTGAGATGACAACAGGAAAAAACAATACTGGAAGGGTGCTTTTAGATCAACTATACATAAAGACAATTATTTTTTAGGCTGAAAATTCTTTAACCAGCAGACAAATTCTAAAGGCTCATGTCTTATGACATAAAAATGCTTGATTTTCAACTGAGAAACAAACCATTATGTAAAGAGTAACAAAGGGAAAGTGGGTAATAGTAAAGTCCCTGTGACGTATATACAGTACTTCAACAAATAAAATATTTTTATATTTAGGAAATTGGCATAAAACGCATGATTTTACCCGGTTTGTCACGTAACTGGCATATTTTCTTTTGAAGTTGGCTCAGTCAAAATGAAACAGGAAGTGACACCAGAGGGGAACGTTTAATAAATTGAACAACAAGATCTTTGTTTATTGTTTGGCCTTCATCTTTCTGATGGTGACTAAGTATAATCTAAAGAAACACCAKATTCTTCTCTGCAGTCTGTGTCGTTGGCCATTGGCTGTGTCTCAATTCATGGGTTACAGCCGACGTCGGCTGCATTTGTYGGCCACTTATGTCAATGCCCCGCGCCGTAGGCTGGCCCAATTTGTTTGTGCCTACACAAACGGCCGACAAATGAAAAATTGGTATCCTACACTGCAAACGTTATCCCAGAATTCATTGCGTCGTCAGCAAATTAAACAGAAAAACAAAGATGGCAAAGTTTTTTTAACAGTTTTTTTATTTTTTTAATGATGGAGTTCGGAATTTTATCACTGACCAAAAAATGCAAGTTCAACAACTTGGCTGAAAAAACTTTTAGTGCAATGAGATGTTAAATAAAATGCAGTTACAATGACTGATACTGGAGCTAAACCCAAATTATTAATGCTTTTTATTTATTTGCTTGTAACGTTTTCCTATAAAAACTGAATTTTATGAAGTTTTACCTTGAAAAAACAACTGAAGTTGTGTGATATAAAATGTATCATCGTAGTAATGAGGCAGAGCGTGTTTACGCAAYTTTACATCTTCTGTAGACTGGACCATCTCATTTCACAGCCATTTAAGCAGCGACGTACGGCCCATGTTGACTGCAGCCAACATCAGCCGCGGTCTACGTCGACTGCAACCCATGAATTGAGACAGAGCCACTGCAGCAGGGCTCTATTGAAATGCAGACATTCCTCTTTGTCATCACTTCCTGTTACTTAAAGTGCAAATATCTCAACAACTGTTCATCTCMGCGGCGTGATTTTTAAAAAATATATATTATCAGTGTTATCTTYCTACAAGTACATTCATGTTTATTACAAGTACTTGACGTAACAGTCACGTTAATGCTGTAGTTTTGTCCWTGTGATTAACAGGGACATGTTTGGACAAACTATTGTATTTGTAGGATCACCTTACACTTCATTAAAACAGGATCAATAGGTTGTGTGTGAGAGAATAAAGCAAGGAGGATAAAACATAAACTGAGCTTCTCGGAACCATAAAAGACTACATTTTTACCGGACATTTGATTTACTGCAATTAGCTGATGTCATATACAGGCCACTGTGAATGTATTATTTATTTAATAACATTTATAGGGGTTGATGATCAATAAATTTCTGTATGGGTTTTAATGGGCTGGAGGAACCAGCTTACAGGCATAAGCAATCCTGCTGCTGTAAGGTGTGAAGGTGCTACAAAAAGGGCAGAAGCTTCAATTTGGTACAAAATGAAAAAACGCATTTCATCTTCTCACCCAGTGTTTCACAAGCCCTAAGTCACACGTCACGCCATWAACACACACACATACACACACTAGTTTTCCCCACCGTTTTGATGCTGAATCCAGTTCTCTAACGTTTTCTCTCTCAACAAACAGATGTGGCTTGTCATGYGTTTCCCTGATGAAAACCAACATCTTTTAAGAGCGCAGACACACGTCTCCCACACACTCTGTCTCACACAGACGCACACAGATTTCTTCAAGGCAACTTGTCATGTCTAACCAGTAAATGCTGTAGCTGGATGAGCCATTTATCAGAGGAGGAAATAGTCTTCTGCGCTCCTTTTACTTCATTTCTCTAAAAATAATGGCCACGACAACAGCGCCTGTATCTTCGGGGTACTTAAAAGGGGGAGTTATGGCTCAAGTCACAGCACATAACGTATTATATCTCATGTTCACTCGTCATCGTTCCTGTAAACCCTCTTTTCAAAAAAACGCACCAAAAATGTACACTTATAACAATCAATACAGTAACACCGACACAATGAAAACACATCTAGTTCCAAGTACAAATAAAGCAATAAATAAATAAATAAAYAATATCTAAAAACCTTAATTGTGTTTTTTGATCCACTATATGAGCCACCCTGCTTTTTATGCTCGATTGTTTTCATAAAATTCATCCACTGGTTCATGAGATATTTTGCAGACTTCACAAACACATGAACACGTGCACATAATCCCGGGGCATGCAACCTGTGGCTCTTTATTCCCTCTGCAACTGCTCTTTGAAGCTTTGACCAAAACTATCATGAGATAAAATTTGGGGGGTTTTATGCAAACAACAGAAAAGGCTAGCTTTAGCAGTTTTCATATGTGATCAATGCTAAAAATACAAACAGCAAAATGTGTTGATTAGATCAGGAGTTCTCAAATGTTTCCATGCTACAGGCCCTAAAAAAAGCATTAACTTTTGATCTTTAAGGCTAGATTAGATAAGAATTAGAAACATTTTTTTGTTTGTTTTTATGGCAATGGTCTTTTCTTTTCTCTTAAAGTGTGAGAATAATAATAATAAACATTAAAATTGGATACAAACTTTTAGTTTAAAAATATCACCCCCTTGGACCGGAAAGGCACCCATTCGACAAACTCAAAGAGGCCCACGGGCCACCAGTTGGTAATCATAGTTATAGCACATTTTGTAGCTCTGAATACATTGTATTAATGAGCCAAGGAGCAGAAATGACTCCTTTGATTGTAAAGGCAAACATAAGCAGACATAAGCAAAAACAGTACTTCCATCTTTTTGCAATAATTCATATAGCTTTAGATAAAGGAAGACAAACAAATGCAGCTTTAACCCTCATTATCATTACAATTATTCAAATGAAAAAGCTTTCTGTAGATCTTCTAATATTTTAAGCCCTCACRTTGCTCTGATTCAAAGGTAAATGTGATGCTCCTGAGCTCTGAAAGCTATGACTCAATAGCTTTCATGATGCACCCAGCAAAGATCTCCACAACCATGACACAAAGCATTCATTTCAGGAAAGGCACTCTGTTTCCATCCACATGGCTCTCTCTGAYATGACTGGAACAGTTTTAAAGCCGCCCCGTCAGGGTCACACAAACCCCCGTGGAGTGACTGCGTTTCATTGTCTGTGGTACCAACTCAGTGCTGAGACCTGAATTTACTTCCGAGATTTCTAGCTCGATCTAAAAAACCAAGTTTCAGAAGCAATAAAATACATAGTTTTACGTTGGCTAGTTCGGCGTAGATATATGGCATCCTAAAGCAGTTTGATGTTCTTTAACAGCTGAAGCAGGGACATTTTCAATGGCTAAAAATTGCAGCTCAGATGAATAAAACTCAAAAGATCCAGCTGTGAGCAGCGGGTTAAAGTTGTTGTTTTCTTAACTGAAGGCCAACAAAACAAAGTGCAGAGCTTCTTTTTTTATATTAGCTGATTTAAAAGAACAGTTTGCAAACAGTCACTGGAAGGTTTATCATATGAGGGCTGTTTAAGAGAAAATGTATTACTACTTTCCTACTGTAGCTGCTCTGCAGTAATTGAAAGGTTTAACTGAATTTCTTTTAGAGGTTTACGGCTTATTTTGTGTGTGTGTGTGCGTGTGTATATATATATATATATATATAATTTTAATCAGGTCAAGGAACTAATGTTGTCATTCTTTTTCTTTCTCTCGCTCTCTGAGCTGCTGACAGAGGATGAGCTTCACTCTGGAGCCTCTTTCCCTCCACCCTCAACATAACCATAATAAAATTGAAAAGTAGCTGAAATGGAAATGACTGCTAYATAGTAGCTCGGTCTACAAGACAGCCACTCACAGACAGATGAAGCAAAATCTGAGAGAGCAATAAAAGCAATGCAAGAGGCCGTTCAGTTTGTTCTACCCTCTCTTTGTACAAAAAGAGGCCAACAAGGGCGTGAGCAAACACAATGTACAAAGAAGGGAAAAAAACTGATTTACTGTCTGTGAAGCAACAAAAAGAAATGTTTTTTACAAACCTGAGGACAAGCAATGAAAGAGGCTACTTTAATGTCCTTCTAAAAAGTGCTCTTCAGTTTTGAGCATTTAGATAATAAAAAAACTCACAAGATTCTTAGAATTTACGGTAAGCTGAATCCAATGCTCAAATGTTCAAAGGCTATAATTGGGGAGTTTTTAAAAAGAGTTTAAAATCCTCATCAGGTTAATCACAAATGCATTTTGTTCATTTTAGTTGCCCCAGTATAGACACRACAACTTATAAACCCAACAAAATAAAGGAGAGTTCCTCACATGGTGCAGCTTGCTTCTTCTCTTTGGGTTCTTGTGCTTTCTGAGACTGACTTTTGATCCTGTTCACCAGCATAAGGAGGCGACCCTTAATAGACGTGTCCCGCTCGTCATCTTCCTCTTCCATTGGGATTCCTGCACATCACAACGGGACAAACACCACATTGGTGGACTGATACAAGAAATTGTGCAGCTTCTGACAAGTTTAACACAAGTCTTGAGATGTTTGTGTGATGAAGAGATATGCAGGAAATAATAGAAGAAAACTGATCACTATTCATTCAGATGTATTCTCAATCTGTGTAAGGAATGTTCTCCAATTGTTTCTTTACTGTGTAATATAAATACCTTACAATGACAAATAGAATTTGAAGTGTCTGTTGAGAAACCAGTAAAGTCTCTTTTTCTTCAGTAACTTCAAATCCAAAAAGTTTTTGGTCTGCCTGCTATTGGTCTTTAGAGAAAAAAAAACTTCTGTTGAAGCAGCAACTTCAGCCTCTCAGATGCTGTTAAAATAGATGAGTTCTTCTCTCTCACCTTAAATCACATGTCTGAGAAGAATCTACTACTTCTCAGTTTAAATCAGCAGAAGAAGGAGGACAAATTATTACTCACCTTTAAAGACCTAAAAGGCCTTGGACCTAATACACCTCAGATTTACTGACTTGGGATGTGTCATCCTGACTACTGAGACGATGGGGCTTTTGCTATTAACACCCCAGCTTTCTGGTAATCTGAACTCAGGTAATTTTTTTCTTTTCTACAGCTTCTGGATCAGAGGTGGAACTAGGCTTTTTTTCAAGGGGTGGCCAAGGTGTTTTTAGAGGGCATATACAATAAAAAAAGCACTATAAATATGATAATTCAAGTTGGCCACCACAGTTCATTCCAAATGGCTTGATCTGTTTAAAAAAACTGAGCTGAAATTTTGTGTGACAGCAGCTAATAATGACCCAAAAGACATATTAAATGCTACTCACATTTATTATTCAGCCATTTTTTGACACACAAAGCAGATTAGCATAGAAGTAGACAAGAACAATATTTACTAATTACTAAATGCTAATTAAAAATTCAAGATGGCCACCACTTCTAACTTTAAAAGCCTATAATGTTGCCATTTTAAGACCTGTTGGGATTAAATATGTTGTGAAGTAGCTAAGAATGATAACATGCTGATTGCCAATGCTAATTCCAATTTAAGCTAACCACTAATGCTAATGCTAATTTTGCAAAGGGCTGTAATTCAGCCATTTTTATACATAAACACCTAAAATATTTATATAGTACAGTAGTATCAGAGAACAATCTAAAGGCAAATACAAAATCCAAGATCCCCACCCAATTGTCCATTAGTTATTGGTGGCACTTCAGCTGGCCAACCAGGTTACAGAGGAGGAGGCACTTGCCACCATGGCCACCCATCTAGCTCAGCTCCTGTTCTGGGAATGTCTAATAAACTCACCAAAAACACCTCTAAGTATATTGTCACATTTTCACCCAGTGACATCATGCTGCTTTTATAAAACGTTTTTAATTAATCCTATAAATGAGTAGTGAAACACAAGGTCGCTGCATCATGCTCAGTCTCCAATGTTTTCTAATTAAAAGAAGCTCAATGTTTTATCAGATCCACATCTCACCACAGTGGAGCTGCAGCTGGTTGTGAAAGTCATAAAGTTCCTCCTGTATGTCTACAGGACACGGACAGTCATCTCCCGTACTGAAGGTTAGCAGCATATTGATCTGAAATGTGAAAAACATGAAATCAAACAGATGTATCAGATAATATACGGTATATATATATATA